ACGTGGCACTACTTGAAATGATTGAGACCAACTGAGCGGGACTAACGTCCTTAAAGGAGATTTTGATATATGATCTCCAATCATTTTGGTATTTAATTTCTTCGATTCTAATGAACGGAAATTGATGAAAGAAGTCAGGGATGTAACACTGTACGAGTAATACATGTGAAAATTTTTTCATCCATAATTTATGTTAAATAAAAATTGATTAATCATTCGAATTCTGGAATAATAAATTTTAATCACTGCCATGTACTTTTTTTTTTCTCTGAGTCTAATCATATCAAATATGGACATATAATTCCGAAAACAGGCTAGTAAAACTTGTACATACTCACTGAACACGTAAACTGGTCAGAGCAATGGACAAAAGCATCGAAAACATCGACGGCACTCGGTTTCCGAGGTGGGGAGCATCGTCCGGATTCCCAACTTCATTTCTATTGTATATAAATGGTTTAACATGGAAGAGCCGAAAACAAAGCAATTCGACGACGCGTACGAGAAAATTTACGGTGACGAGTGTCGGATTTGTTTGAAAAGGGCTGCTGAGATTTGTGAACTTTTTCGGAATGGAGATACTATATCCCGTAAACTTATGGCTGTTGCCTCCGTAAAGGTTAGCTTGCGATACTTTTCTCAACAATAATATAAGTCAAACAAGTTATTTCCTTTGGCTTCTAATAAACACTACATATTTTTCATTTTTGTTGATCGTAAACAAATATCATTAGCATTAATCATAAACAAATGAAGCTAGATTGTCAGAAGCAAAGTTGATATTGTAAATAGTATTATTCGAATGTGTTTTCGATTAATTTGTTTTACTCTGTCGTATAGTTAATGTTCCAATTTCTGTTCACATCACCATTCCTGTTCACTGACTTATTTTTCCATAATTTTATATGTAAGCTTAAGCCAGTGAGGAGAAATTGTAACAAGAAATTGGGATTTTTATTACACTGTAATAAAGCCGTGATCTCGAAATAGATAAGAACCAAGGAACAGGGAAATAACTTTGAGAAACAAGGTATAAGCAAGAACGTAATCAAATACATTCTTTCTTTTGTTAAACATGAACTTATTAGGTATAGCAAATAAATTTTGTTAAGATTACAATTTCTGTTCACTGTTTTTTGTATAACTTTATATGGTACCTTAAGTCAGTGAGTAGAAATTGTAATGTTAATAGAAATTGGGACACTTACTATACTAATTTATTATTTTAGATTGAAGAAGGAGATGGTTTACCTTCGGTGATTTGTTCGCTTTGTAATCAACGTTTGGACGCATCATACGATTTTCGGTGTCAGATACAAAACTCGGACACAAAGCTACGTGAAATTCTAAAACTCAAATCGTCCTCTAACAATTCTGTAAGCAGTGCCAGTATAGTTACAGCGATAATCGCTGATGTTATATCCAGTGTAATATCTTCTGAAAAGGAGAACACAGAAAAGCAAGAAGTTTGTACAACAAATTTTTATTCAGACAATTTCTGCTTCACGAAAGAGGAGACGTCGTTCTGTCTCACTCCAGAGAAGAATCTGTTCTGTTATGAGAAGGACAGTCAATTAAATAATATAGAGGAGAGAAAGAGTCTAAATAATGTAAATGTTTATAAAAGTTTATTGGATGATGATTCTGTTAGACAGATAAATCCGATGAAAGAAGAAGAATTGTCCTCGTTGCACGATCACATGGTGCAGCAGGATACTTCTTTAAAAGAAGACCGTAACGAGATAATATCGGATAATCATCAAATGTTAGATGAATCATCGAGAACTGATGGCATTCAAGACGAAGAAGAGAAACCATTGATTGCACGCACAACTAGATTGCGTTGTACACAGTGTATCAAATCCTTCCGTTCGAAAATAGCCTTGCAGAGACACGCTATTGTACATAAACGTAAAACTAAGCTACGTTACGTCTGCTATGTGTGTGATAAACAATATTCGACGTTGGCGAAAGTTAAAAATCACGTCGCAATTTGTCACGAAGCGCATGGTAGGAAAGAAAACATAGAAGACAAGAGAGTGAATTATGAACAGAGTCTACAAGATAAAAGAATTAACAATATTCAAGTAAGATAATTCATATGTAGGGTGTCCTCAGATTGAACGATCATATAACGTACCAGTATATTGTATGAGTAAAAATGAGAAAAGATGTTATATAAACAGGTCTGCAAACCCTTTATTATCACGCTATATTACATTGAAAATTAGTTTATGTTTCTATTTCGAAATGTCGTCCCCCGTTACTAATACAAGCTTGACATCTTAGGGAAACTGAATTTATAACTCCGAATTTCATTTTTATTTTGCTTTAGTTATTAGTTAGTATATTATATACTCTTATTATCTATACTCTATATATAATATTTTCTATTAGCTCTTGTCGCGAATTCACGTTTCGGAACTGATACTAATTCTTTATGACAATCTCTGCGATATTGCGTTCGATTATTTCAAATAGTAAACATTGTTAGAAGAAGTAGATTTCATAAGTATCGAAGCCTTATTGTTATACTCCGATGTACCAACAACGAACTCGCTATTGATTTCAGATTCGTTTTTTACTATAACATTTTTATAAAGCACTTGGAAATCTATCTTTATACAACATTATCTTCTTATTTGCACTCAGAATATATTGGTGTAGTTTGATCGTTTAATCTGGGGTAATCTATATAAAATTGAAGTTCATAATTCGTACATATTTCAAAACTGAATATTTCTTTTAATATTGGACTTAACGAATTAATTTTTGAGTAGGTGTTAGAAAGATCAATTGATTATTGTTTTCACCAATCAGCAAACGGAACATTACAAATATTTATTAGAATCCCTAATAAAAAAGTTTAAAACACGTGATACTTACTTTTTTGGTCACGATTTCGATCAATAAAAATATTGAATACATTTTTTTGGCACATGACATAGTAAACTAAATCTGCTAGCATTGCACAAAAAAGTAGTTTGGTCCAATATTGAAACAAGTGCGTCCACTTAATATCCATCTCGACTGTAAGAGGTATTATCAATGCTGTACTTCACTTCTACGTAACTTTCAACGCCACTATTCCCTTCATCTTCAGCCAAATTATGTTGTCCTGTAACTCTTTTTTCTGCTGAATACGAAACTTTTACATCAATTGACCTTTTCTAATTCTTCATCTTTCCAGATCTATTTCTCCCTTTTACACTTGACATTTCTGTTAAAAATCATTATTGTGGTCTTTTCACTACTAAGGATAAGTTTCTACCAATTACTAGATAGCGGCTTTTATGCACTTATAGAAAAATTGTGTCGGCAGTAAATATAAAGACTGTTTGCCAAGTACAAATATACAAGATATTAAAAGATCGGTGCCTAGTACAATGTTTATAAGATAAAAGACATGTCTACTTAGAATTCATTTTTTTAAGTGATACCTATTTCGCACAAAAATTCATGATCTACCAATAATCAAATTCCTAAATTTCCATTACTGTTCTCTCCAACATTTCTTCTGCGCTTCATTTTTCTACTAAATATACAAGCAGAAAATAATATGATTCAGTGTATATCTTTTCCTGAAACCCTTCTTAGTCCAAAATTCACTCGTTAGTTTGTTACCGTTTCTTATTTTTACTGCATTTTTCTCATATAACTCCTTCATTCTCCCAACCAGGTATTCACTTCGTCCAAAAACCTCCACAATGTTCTTCTGTCTACTGTGTCGAATACGGTCCACATAGGTTGAGTGTAACTTCTCTCGTTATTCTCTTTTGTACCGTGTAGTACAGGATATAAATTTTCCTAGTCCTTTATTCATTGTTAATGTAATATTTAAGATTGCATGAGCCTTTCAATAAAAACGATAACAAAGCATTCAAATTTTAACACTTAGTACATATGACATTAGTAAATCAATATTGAAAATTTTAGAAATTTGGCAAGGCTATTAAAAAAGTACACCTTGAATTCTTGTATTGAATAGCAAAATGATGACTTAATTTATGAAAAAAATATAGATGGAACAATGACAGAATTTTGTAATTTTGTATCATTATTAATACATGTTTTAAGAATATTTTAAAATTGAAATAATATCAACTTCGAGGATATTGTGTAAGGTACAATCCTAGCAAAAAATTGGTAAAACTTGTATATTAGAATATTAAAAATAATACATCAGAAGTTCGTTATGACTTGAAAAAATATGTATATCGAACAATTTTTTAAATCTTCTCTGTAAATATTTTTCCTAAAAATTCGCTTCAAATATTGGAGACAGCTTGTTACCACATTTCTTAAACTTTTGCCAAAGATTTTACGGCTCATATAACTTTAAGTATTTATATTAAAATTATATTACACTAATGAAAAATGTGCATGTTTTTGATTGTTGCAGGATAAAAGAATAAAATTACAAAAAACTGATGATTCCTCTAAAGAGCAACGAAGAAGCATGAAATATACGTGCAAAGTGTGTTCGAAACAATTTACGTATCAGAAATCTTTTATTACGCATGCCAAGAGTCACCCGGAATATAAATCAGAGGAATTGGACGATACCTCTCAGTGTTCGATGAAAGAAAGATCGACCGAAGCCGTTGAAGAGGATGACGAGAATGAAGAGGAAGAAGATGAGGAGGACGAGGAAGACGAGAACCTACCCGCCAAAAGCCTACAGTGTACTCAGTGTGGGAAACTATTTGCTACGAAAAGAAATCTGAAAAGGCACATTTCCACGCACAGTGGATTGAAGTATACCTGTGGAACATGTGGCAAAGGATTCTCGAGAGTAGACAAATTAAAGGATCACGAGCAATCGAAACACAAGTCCGAAATGTTTGATAGCTCCGATATGGATGACAAAGATGACATGGATAGTATGAGTAAAGTCGACATGGAAGGAAGGAAGAAGGTAACTCACTTAAAATTACTAATTTAAATAATAGGAGTGCGGCTTCCCGAAAATACGTGTCGGGAATTGTTTTCGGGTTCGGGCGAGGTCTCGAAACTTGAGGGGGTGAGCTGTTTCGCCAGAGGGGTGCCAGTTGTGTGCTTTTGAGCGATCCCGGCACCCCTCTGAAGGCGAAGAGGATGGCCACCGAAGGGGTTTAGTGGGTAAGAATCCCACATAAACCTTCCTTCCCACCCCCCAATGGGAGGGGGTATATCTTTAGAAAGATTTCCCCTCCGTCATCAAAAAAAAAAGAGAGGTCTCGAAACTTAATTCGGTACATAAATTCGTTCGGGGGACTCACGTTACTGCATTCGGATCGTAATTGTTCGAAGGTGTTTTAAATATTAAGTTTAACAGTGTTTTCATATGTTATCATGTATAAGCGATTGTAAGAATCCATAAGGGAAAAATGCATTGTAGATGCGTTTCGAACATTCTAAAATCCAAAATACTCACGCTTGCTATGTTATTGAACCCATATTTCAACCACAGTCTCTCGACAACACTAAATAAAAAATTAGAAGCTATAGATAATTTGAAACAAAAAGTTTTTCCCATACGTAGAAATGTACAGTGACTCACGAAATTGATGAAACACCTTTTAAAACAGAATAACTTTCTTAATGTTTGATGAAAGAATATAATTTTGTGTGGAATGCTGGAAGACTTAGTTTACTATGTAATGTATAAAAAAAATTTGTCCAAAATTGCTATTGATCGGGATCGCGAAGAATAGAGTAAATGTCGCGTTTTTTAAATTTTGTATTTGGGCTTTTAATATAAATTTGAAACATGCCGTTTGCAGATATAAATGACTTATACGCATGTACAAAGTTTCATTAAAATCGGTTAATGTTGTTCTATTTTTGGGGTTTAGAAAGTGTCATTACGACTCGTTTGTTAAAGGTGTGAGGGACAGCAACTCCGCTGTTTTACAAGAATTGCCCCAATGACTCACAAAAGTTTTCAAACGCTTACATTTGCGAACTTTAATGAACGAAATAATGTATATTAATCTAATTTGTTTAAAGCATTTCGGCATCTACTGTATACTAAGAGGGAAATCTCAAGATTATGTCAGTAAAATATGATAAACAATGTAGGTAGTAGTTATGGTTAAAAGGGCCTAGTTGGATAAGGGGGTCAAATGTGCGCTTGAGCCGAATGAAGCGGCGTTTGCGCTAATCGATAGCATATCAAAAAAGAAGCATTCACTCCAATTTTTAGCCCTATATCTCAACCAGGGGGATCATGAATTTTTTCAGATTTTTAAAATTGGTGCATCAATGTGAAAAAAATCAAAAACTTCTTTTATTGCTTGAAAAAGTAACTTCTGCTTCGAATTTTTATGTCTTTTTCATACAGTATATTTATTATATGTTTTTAAACATTTTGAGTAACTATAGACATAATTTCAACAACGACAAAGTGAAAATAAACGAAATTGTCCCATGTTCAAGTGTCGAGACGGAAGACAGGTTTCCAACAGCGACGGCGGCGAAGTGGCGAAGACTCCAGGCTAGTAATCGCTGCGTACTTTTTTGACGTAGGTTCGTAGGTAGGTATATATTGACATGTGTCAACATATGTATGTTAAAAAAATTATGGTCGGCGCCAGGACGCGAACCTATGTCAAAAAAGTACGCAGCGATTACTGACCTGGAGTCTTCGCCGCCGTCGCTGTTGGAAACATGTCTTCCGTCTCGGCACTTGAACATGGGACAATTTCGTGTATTTTCACTTTGTCGTTGTTGACATTATGTCTATAGTTACTCAAAATGTTTAAAAACATATAATAAATATACTGTATGAAAAAGACATAAAAATTCGAAGCAGAAGTTACTTTTTCAAGCAAAACATTTTGCAAGGGAAAAATCTGAAAAAATTCTCAGACTTGTCCAACTACACAACGAACATGTCAGAATTTTTTCAGATTTTTCGCAAGGCGTTAAATAAGGAAAAACTTAAAAAAACTGGTTTTTCGAATTTTCTCGATTACTCCCCTCCTGGTTGAGATATAGGGCTAAAAATTAGAGTGAATGTTTCTTTTTTGATATGCTATCGAATGGCGCGAACGGCGCTTCATTCGGCTCAAGGGCACATTTGACCCCCTTATCCAGCTAGGCCCTTTAGTACGTATTTTTCGACAAGTACTTTTGTATAAAAAATTACGGAGCCGATCTGAGATGTCATCGTCAGATCTTGATCGGAACGTCATCGAATGCCCCGTATGTAGTGTTCGAATACTTTTGAATCACTTGTTATGCGTTTTTTTAATAAATGTATCATAATTATTACCTATATTGTTTAATCATTTTCGAATTTTACAGATAATCTTGAGACCCATTCCCCTTACTATAGGCGCTGAATTATTCTAAAGAAATTAGTTTAATAGAGATTATCTTGTTCATTAAGATTTGCAAATTGCCTTAGAATACTTTTGTGAGCTACTGTACATCCTTCCTTCGGAACTATATACTGAACAAATTTTCGGGATTCCATTTAATTCGACCCGATCATTACCCGACCCAAATCCGAGGCTCGGATGCCTGAATTTTCGAGTACCAGCCCCACTATTAAATAATAACTTCTGATATCGATGTCCAACAATTAAATACTATTTCAGGATCGTCACAACAGACCGCATAAATGTGCAATCTGTCCGAAATCATTCGCTCAGGCTCAGTCGCTAGCGAATCACATAGAACGTCATAAACGAGTAAAGGAGACACAGAAAAGGTTTCTGTGCGAGGTCTGCAGCAAGTGTTTTGCCCAAAGCGGATCTTTGGTGGCGCACATGCGAACGCATACAGGCGTCAAACCATACGTTTGCAATGTCTGCAGCAGGGCCTTCACCAAGAGCACTTATTTGCAACTGCATCTGCGTACTCACAGCGGAGAGAAGCCTTATATTTGTCAGTATTGCAGTAGAGCGTTCGCCCGCGCCAACACTTTGGCACGGCATATAACAATGCATACGGGCGAGGCGAAGTACCATTGCCAAATTTGTACGAAATCGTTCAGAAGATTAACCTCGTTGAATGAACACACGTACACGCATACGGGGCAAAGGCCGTATGCCTGTAAGATTTGCACGAAACGGTACAACAACGCGGGCTCACTTTATGCGCACAGGAAAAAGTGCAAAGCGCAGCAAATGTCGAATACTGGATTTGCGGTTTCGGTGAATAACTCTGTGCAAAACTCGCAACAGGATTCTGTGAATGTTTCACAAGTTTTGATTTATTCGCAAAGGAAGTTGGTGGAGGATGCCACCGTGGGCCAAGTGACGCCCACGCCCCAGTACATGATCCCCAACGTACACAGTCAAAAAAATCCGGGATCGAATATTATCCAGCCGTTTACGGTTGAGGATCCAAACGTTTATACGATTAACTCGAAGCAATTCAAGAACCCCTATTATACGATATATCCCAACATGTAACATATTAACGACTGCGAGAGATTTATTAAAGAATGACTTTTTTAGATCTACATGTGTGTTCTTTCATACCTCTGTTAACTTTATTTTATTTATAAGTTTACATAAATAAGTACAATACTAATCATTTGAGTGAAGTTGATAAATATTTATATGCATTTCAATGTTGAATGACTTTCTTAATATTAGACCAAACAACTTAATGTTATTGGAGGTGTTAGAAAGTTTAGGTTACTATACAGGGTGATCCGTAAAGAGTGTAAGAGCCGAAAATGGCAGATAGGGAGGGTCTTCCTGAACAACTTCCTTTGGCAAAATGCAGAATGGGGCTTGGTTACCGAGTTAGTAACAAAAAACACGGACCAATCAGAGCGCTCGGTTGACGCGGGCTCCGACGCGGGCTCCGACTCGGGAGTGTTGGCTCGGATCCGGCCACTCGGCTTTTCACGCGTTTGAACAAGCGCTCCGCTCAGTACGAAGCGTTTTACAAACTACGTGAATAACAATGCAAGGAAATTGTTGTTCGTGCGTTATTATGAGTAACAATTAATACACTTAGTCGTTATTCACGTGGAATCAATGGTGAAATGATAGATTGTTGATAATTAATGGATGATGATAGGATAAATGAGGAATTAATAAGTCGCAGGGAATATTAAATTAAAGAGAAAATGTAAAAACTGTAGAAATTTAGACTTCCTCATTCATTTGCAAGTGCACCTCCTCACGATGGGCCACGGTCAATGGCTCAGCGACTTTGCCGCTCGCAGGTAGGCCACAGCTGATCTTCTGTCCAGGGAAGGAATCCCGCACCTTCACTGTCACTCCACACTCAAAAATTTTAACACACTGAGATTGTTGCTCCTACATTCTATCAATACACGTCTTTCAAAGGAGCAGATTGATTTTTATACATGAACTCAACTTCATTACACCACTGTCACTCCTCACTTAAAAAATTTCAAACAGTTACACTGACGTCCCTGCACTCTCACATTAAACGTCTCCGAAAGGAGCCGATTGTTTTTCATTCACAAAATGAACTTCACTACCCGCGTGGCCCATAAACTATGTACACGATGCGCGAAGGGTGCGACTCGATCGGGGTGATGCTCTTTGTACCGGCATCGGCGGATAACCATCTTCGCGTTAGGCGAACAAGCTGATCATTTCGTAATGCTCTGTTGGATTTTTCGGGCTCCGTCGTTGAATTGAGGTGCACGACTCGATATCTACTGATCCGTCCCTCACAATTTTCCTTCGGGAGAATTTTCCCCACTCGATGGCCAAATTCGTTAGTGAAAATGTTTTTAGCATCCCTGAAAGAAACCCGACTTTCGATTCCTGGGACTCCCAGGTACTTCATGTACCGACTCACCCTAACATATGAGTCTCCAACACGGATTCACGAGTCAGGTTGCTCGGCGGACCTCCGGAGGCCATGAAACCACATGGCCTCCGTCTTCGCCGGTGCCACCTTTAATCCAAGCTCGTGGATCCGCGCGACGACGGCACTGCCAATTCGGCAAGCCGAATGGTCCTCCTGAAGTCCTCCCCAGCGATGAGTATAAGTATATCGTCTGCGTAACAGATGATGTACATGTCGTGGGGAATTTCAACATCTTCAGTTTCAGCAGAAGACTGCATCGTACTCGAGGTTCCACAGAAGTGGGCCCAACACAGACACTTGTGGAACCCCGCGATCCACCACCCGGTGGTGCAGTCCCCCGTACCGGCCTGGATAATGTATCTGCCTGTCGCTGAGGTACGACCAGTGATGTAAGATTTGCGGAATTTCGATCGCCGCGCGTACGGTGAAGAAAGGTGGAACTAAAAGTCTTGATGTAAGATTTGTGGATTTTTCCGCCCATAGCGTAGACCCAGTCTAGAATGCTGTTATGTCTTAGCTTTAAGCTTTGAACCTAGCCGCGCGCGCAGTTTGAACGGCGTACCACTACACGCGTAATTTTTCCGTATACGTGTATCAGGTAAACGGCAAGACCCAAACTGCAAACCTGCCCTTTAAATGCTCGTGCCTCGTGGATCCTTCGATGACCAGCAAACGCTTTCGCTTCTGCTCCTTCGTTTTCGCGTAAAGGGGTGCAAACGAGTCACGCTCAGCGATTGCACGTGCATATGCTATACGAAGGCAAATGATAATTTTTTTTAATAGCCATAAACATTTCAATGAATTTAACGAGATAACTGTATGTACTTTATACAC